TAAGAGGCAGGGATGAAGGGGGGGGGGGCGGGCGGCGGAAAATAGCTGCTCCCCGTCGATTTCCAGCCTGCTCATGCCAAGTAAAGGGCGCTGCACAGAATCCCCCTCCTAAATAAACTTGCATGGTGGATTTCTGGCGGTATTTATAATAAACGCTGGGTGGTCAATCCGGCTCCCGTCAGTAAGGACTGCACTGTGTCTTAATAAGAAACTAAAAGGAAAGTCTTAACTTTCCCACCCATTATTTTTAAAAAAACAAAACAAGTGGGGTGGGTGGGTTACAACTCATCACCTTTGTGGAAATGAGGTTTTCAGAAGGAGACTGTCTTTATCTATGGAGATTCTCAGTCATTCCAGGTCATGGTTGTCCCAAAGGTGCTTTTTCAAGAGGCAACTGGACTTTCAACTTTGGGGGAAAAAACCACACATTTTTTTTCACCTCAAGATGTGGAAGCTTTTTCTTTGAAGACTTTGAAACGTCTTCAGAGAAAAACCAAAAAGTCCAGTTGCCTCTTGAAAAAGCACCTTTGGGACAGAGGAAAGAAACTAACTGCCTTTCTTACTGGGAGCGTTTATTAACTGCTTCCTTATCACCCATTTCATTCTTCATGGTGTTGATTTTAAAAACTGCTGAGAAGGCCGTTTGCAGGTAGGACAATTTTCATCAAGGGGTGTGTGCGCGTGTGGAATTACAGTGGGACTCCTTGAGTTAGTAAAATGCTGATGTTTGACACAAGCGGTGAATAGTTTTGTCCTGATTTGTCTATGTGTGCATTGATTATGTGCAATGTAATTGGTTTTCTTGTATAGTTTTGCTGCCCAGAGCCTATTGGAGTTGGGATAGGACCGATGAATTTAAATAATTAATTAAATAATTATAATAAATGACCCCTTTCAGCGTTTTACCAACCAACAGAAAAAACTTCTACCAGTCATAGAGTTGCAGCAAGGTTTGGCTCTGTCCAGTCTTCTCTAAGCTTGTTAGTTTGCTCCAACCCACATCCCATGTGGGCATTTTCCATGTTTAAAAACACTGTGAAATAAGGATACATATAGAAAGATGCTCAGGTCAAAATTGCCCCAATGAGGGAATGGGGTTCTGCCAGGGTAATTTGATTTTGTGGAAAAGGAGAACTAAAATTGATTAACTTCTGGGCAGCCTTATTGTTATTCCCAGCTGGGGGTAAGATATTGAAATTGACAGATAAGATTAATTCAACTTCCTTATTTTTCATGTGCTGTACTAAGAAATATCTGTGCTGCTGCATTTTATGTTAGAGACATATGATAATATTTTAATGTGGAATAGGGAAAAGGCTTCCCAGCCTTTTCTCTAAATGAAATTATTAAACAAATTTATATAGCTGTCCAACTCATCTGGGTGATTTCTATGTAAAGGTTGGGTTTCTCTCCGTGCTCTTTGAAGCGTGGAGAAAAAAATGGTGTTAGAAGTAGTGCATATTTACACATTTGTGGTACAGTAATATAAATCAAGGGAACCCAGGAACCAAATACTTTTTGAATGTTGCAAAGACTGGGAGAATATGGCTTTGATAGAGACTGGTTAGAGACAAGAGTGGAAGAGTTGTGTCTGCCACTTCCAACACTGCCAAAGTGTCCCTTGAGTCATGTTTAAAATAGGCCAGCTGACTTTCCCTCTGGAAAAATGAATGAAATTACCCACCTTGATGTTATTGTTAGATGATGCTGGACTAAAAAGCAGCATTAGTAAATTTTGCATTAGTATTGCTACTAAAAACCTATGGCCATGTCATTCATGGGCTAGGTAGTGATGGAAGAAGGAGATTGTTGTGGAACCAAAAGGGAAAATTGGTACTGTCAAGATGAGATTGTGTTGTCTTAATGGCAGATGAGAATAGGCCCAAAGAGTAGATTTCATCATAGTTGTAGCTGATATTCCCTTTGCCTCAATAAGCTTCCACATCTTGAGGTGAAAAAAAAGTTTTGTTTTTTAAAAAAAGTTGAAATTGTGTACATTTCTTTGGTAAAGGCATTGTGACTGTAATTGACTCAGTAGGCTTATATAAGGCTATTAGCCACTGTTTGCTTGGAAGCATATCCTGTTTAATTCAAGGTTAAGGCTGGCCTACATTACTTTGCAAGCGTGAAAGAGGATTCAGATTTCTAAGTACTTTATCAGATGCTGAATCCTGGCTTCTGAAATGAGATAAGATTTCTTCTGTTATCTTTTCCAGCATATCCTTTCAGGGTATGCAAACTTTTGGGTTGTGACATTTGGAAACTTGAGAGGGTGGGGTGAGCACACTCCCAATTCCCCCAATGTAGATTTGCTTATCCACAAATTCCTTGGGGGGGGCATGGTCAACCATGGAACAAGTATTGATTGGAAGGCAAGTTAGCTCCATTGGATGTTTTGTAACATTGCAGTGTCCTTGCAAATAAATAAATTTGAGATGTTGGATATCAGATGGGTGGCAAATTTTCTAAATAAATAAATAAAAATCTGTTATAAATGAATAGATTATGCTAGATTATTTTGGTTTTCAGCATGGCGGACGGAGACTTGGTGGCACCAAGAGATGTGTCTGAGGAGTTTCCCCAAGTACCATGTTACCACAATTTTTTGCTTAACAGTTAAAAGTATTTAAAAATCATTTATTTAGCAGCATCAGCTTCTTGATATTAAAGTACCAGATGGTTTTACATAAAAGGACATGCTCTAAAACTCAACATGTTGGAAACAACATTAAGGAGAGGCAAATAGATGCATAAATGAGTAGAACATACGTATGATTGTATGTTCTGCATATGTTTAGACTATTATAGAATGGCACGTGTGGCTTTACAAAAATGCAACTTTGATGAGGTACTTTGCTCTGAGAATCATGAATAATTTTTCTTTAGAATATGATCCTGAGCATTTCCTTTTAAAAATGTTTTTTTCATATTTGAAAAATCACTTGTACTTCTGAAGATTAGGATCAAGAAACATCTGAGATCAGTATAAAATTATTTTTTCTTCCAATCAATTGTGTCCAATTCTTGGAGGCTGCCTGGACAAGTCCCTGCAATTCTCTTGGCAGTGTTTTTTAGGAATGGTTTCCCATTGCTGCCTCATAGAGTGGCCCAAAGTCACCTGGGTGGCTTTGTTCCAAAGGCAGGACTAGAACTCAAATCTCCCAGTTTCTACTCTGATGCTTTAACCACTGTGCTGTAGTGTAGCATGTCCCTAATATGGTTGCTGCTCTCAAGTGTCCCATTTCTAATGTTGGAATTAAGATCTAGCTGGGAAACCAGAAAATTTTAGGATATGCAATGCAGAACATCGTTGTTTTGTGTCAGGCTTCTCACCAGAAATCTCACTCTGCAGGTACTTAAATCTTATTTGGTAATTTGGCTTCATTTGGCAGAACTCTCCAAAATAACACAATTAGAATCTTTACTGAAAACAAAACAATCAGCCCTCAGTAGTGCGAGGTGGGCTAGGTGTAACTAGGATGGGCCCCTGTCTGAATCAAAACCAAGCTCCATGTCGTGGTTGGATGACTATGCCACCCTCGGGTACTATTCTAAGGTAAATCACAACTTGCCTTATAATACACAACCTTGTTCTTCCACACTTATGAGTTTGCACACTGGCTCTGGTTCTTGCCTGCACTGCCATTGGCAAGGTCTAAGGGAATTGGATAGACCATCTATCATCTTTCACTCATGTACTTTCTCATTGTACTGGAATGGACTGGGAAAGGAGTACTTAATTTGATTTAATTTTATGTACCTTTACTTTTATAAATAATTCAAGATAGAGAATGTACCTAATACTTTTCCTTCCTCCCATTTTCCCCACCACAACAACCCTGTCAAGTATGTTGGTCTGAGAATGACTAACCCAAAGTCACCCAGCTGCTTTCATAGCTAGGGCAAGACTAGATCTCATCGTTTCCTGATTTCCAGCCTGGTGTCTTAACCACTAAACCAAACCAGCTTTTATTTATTTGACTCTTAGTCCCATAGACGATTTTTCAAGAGGCAACGGAACTTTCTGGTTTTTCTTTGGTGTTTTGCTTCTCATCCAAAAAGCTTCTTCAACTCTGGAAGAGAAGAAGCTTCTTGGATGAGAAGCAAAACACCTTCAAAGAAAAACCAGAAAGATTGTTGCCTCTTGAAGAATCACCTATGGGATTACCATGACCTGGATGACTGAGAATCTACAAACACATTTGATCCTTAGCCTGCTCTGCATTTGATAGCAGTGTATCTTTAAGTTTGCAAACAAGAGATTGTGAGGTGCAGCATGTTAAGCTGATACAGATAGTCCTTGACCTACGACCACAATTGAGCCCAAAGTTTCTGTTGCTAAACAAGACAGCTGCCAAGTTAGTTGTGCCCCCTTTTACAACCTTTTTTTGCCAGTTCTTAAGTGAATCACTGCAGTTATGTGAGTAACATAGTTACTAAGTGAATCTGGCTTCACCATTGACTGTACTTGTCAGAAGTTTGCAAAAGATGATCACATTATCCTGGGACACTGCAACCATCATAAATGCATGGCCAATTGCCAAGCAACCAAATATTGATCACATGACCATGGGGATGTTGCAATGGCCATAAGTCTGAAAAATGGATATAAGTCACTTTTTGCTGTTGTAACTTCGAATGTCACTAAATGAATAGTTGTAAGTTTAGAACTACTTAAACTGCTGGGATAGAGACCTAAATAATAACTGATACTGGAAGCAAGGTATCAGCTGTAGGAACTAGCAAATTATTCAGTATCCTGGATGTTATGAAAAATTGTACAGTATCTGAAATCCTGAATATTGTTAAACATAGGCAGGATTAAGCTAAGTGGACCAGTATGCCAACTCTGCATAAAGCTATATCCTTTCTCACACCTTTCTTTCTCCTTGTTAGCTTTTTCATAATCTCCCTTAAGAAAATTCACAGCAATGGGGGGGGGGAAAAAGGAAACTTGCACTTGTTCACATCTGTTTTTATTTCATGATAGGGTTCTTGAGAAGCAAGAAAAAAAATGGCAAAAGAACTTCAAGAATTAATACAAAGATGCGTAAGTACTTTATTGCTTGCTAAGTTATCAAGTTTGAAAATATTGTTTTCATCTTGGAAAATAATTAAATCTGATCATTTTTTCATCTAATTTGGGGCTCTATTATCATTTATTCGTACAAGGATGGAGAATCTGTGTCTAAATGATCTTTGATTTCACCCTGATATTTATTCATGCTGTTAATAATCTTTGGAGTGCAACTCATTGTGTAGTCTATACTGAAAGAAAATGTTAATTTTGTATTAATAGTAGTTTGATACAATACCCTATGTAATTGAAATATTAAAGGGCTTACATGTTCTTATGCTGCAACCTTCTTTGAAAATGCTTGTAATAGTACAGTATCAATATTGTATTATGTTTCTTATGTTTATATTGTGAATTATAATTAAAAGATATATACTTTCAGCAATTTCTTGATGAAGAGAATTTTAAAGGGGAAGATTATAATCTTTTTCAAGTTGCTGGACAGAAGTGTTTCGAGGAAGGGAATATAGCTGATGTATTGGAAATTGTACAAAATGAAAAAAATGTGGTGAGTCAAAAATACATATTTTTGTTTTCTATCTGATTACAAAGATGAAAAAATAGAAATTGTGTATGTTCTTGCTGTAAAGCAGAGGCTAAACATCCTAGTATGTTATTTTAATTTATTTTTTCAATTTGGATGCTGCTCAACTCCAACCAAATCTGGTGGCTCACATCAATAAATAACAAAAACAGTGGGATGCCAAACATGAGCTGAAGCAAGTACAAATATCACTAAAAATAATCACAATATGGTGATACAACAACAAAGCAAACATAGAGGTAGTCCTCCACTAATTGAACTTGCAAGTTTGATTATACTTGTGATAGTCATAAAGCAAGTCACCAAGTGACTGCACTTGATTTTACAACCTTTTTTATGGTGGTCGTTAAGCGAACAGGGTGGTTTTAAAGTGAATGCTGTAGTTATTAAATGAACCATTGTTTGCTATGGGGTGTTATTTTGCCAGAAATCTGAAGTAAAGACATAAATCATGGTCGTGTGATTTGGGACACTGCCAGCAGCAGTAAATGTGGGCCAGATGCTGAGCGCCCAAAAGGCAGTCACGTGACCACAGGGAGAAATGTTGGTACTTCAAATCTGAGTCGTAAAACCCTTCTGGGGGGTCCTTGGTAACTTCATATCAGTTGTAAGTCGGGGACTACCTGTAAAAGATAAACAGGGGAAACATTCTACTCCAAGACCTGGATAAACAGCCAGTTCCTTGGGGCTTTCTGGAATTTCATCAGGCATTTGATTCCCATTCAGAAGGACCAATGGGAAAGGTTGATGCATGAGTTTGACAAAATTGTTTTTAAGTCAAGGTATATTATCTATAAGGGGTCTTTGGTGCTCTCTGAGCTTAGTTGCTTTCTTGCAGATGTTTCCATACCCAATCTAGGTAACATCGTCAGTTACTGATGATGTTACCTGCAGTAGTTTTGGGTAATGAAACCTCTGCAGGAAAGCAACCAAACTCTGCAGGAGAGCACCAAGGACCCCTCATTTCAACCCTGAGCTACAAATATTTTCCTTTACATCAGGGGGGTCAAACTCCATTTCATTGAGGGCCGCATCAGGGTTGTGTTTGACCTCGGGGAGGAGCATGGCCGGGGGTGTGTGGCCAGCATGACATCACACATGTCAGGGTGCCTGTGGTGTCCCGAGCACTCTGCCAGCGAAAAACGGGCTCCCAAGTTCCGTTTTGAGCTCCAACAGCCTCTTGCAGCCCTCTGCCGGCAAAAACAGAGCTTGGGCCAAGCTCCTTTTTTGCTGGGATGGCATCCTGCAACCCTCTACCATTGAAAACGGATTTCAGGAGGGCCGCACATGGCCCTTGCAAGCTCCGTTTTTGCTGGCAGAAGCACCATGGGCCAGTCCTTTGCTATTTCCAGGGTGGCCCTGTGGGCCAAATCTAAGCACCCTGCAGGCTCGATCCAGCCCCCGGGCCTTGAGTTTGATACCCCTGCTTTACATAGTCTTTGTTCCATATTTTTGATAGTAGTATGCATCCAGTATATGTAAGGATTCAAAGTTTTAATGGCATGTGACCCTAGCTAACTAAATATCCATAACCTGTTTCTTAATTTTATTAGGAAAGATATTTCATGTGAAAAGGGATAAATACATAATGAAGATTGGGTTTCGGTACTGTAATAAGCCATGATCAATTGAATAATTGTAGTTGACTGGGTTTGTACAACATGCTAAGCAATAAACCCTTTTTTAAATGCAGCTCAGTGGTCAAATTGACATAACAGGCTATGCCATAAAAGAGATTTCACATTTTAATGCACTGTATAAATTCAGTCTATGTTTGAATTTATCACAGTACTGTTATGATCCGTGCATTTGAACTATACAGGAACATTCTGTGCTAATAAGTTTATCTATTATAATCGGCCTTCTATAAAAGAATCCTGTTTGTACCTGGTGCTAAAATCTTAGTTTAATGTCTGAGCAAATCTGGATTTGTGAAATTCTGCTGCTCAGCTATAACTTTATTTGGGAAGGTGCTCTTTAATTGGATTAACATGAGCAGAATGGCATGCAACAAAGATATTTCTTAGTATGAATTGGAATTCGAGACTTTGAGAAGTAGAAGATACACAGGTATTTCTTGAAATACTTCTAAAATACTATGTTTCCTTTTTTTAGACAAAATGCCAAAATAACTGATTTTTTTTTAAAAAATGGGCATATTTGAGGGTGGGAGGTAGAACTTTTGATCTTACCATATTCCTTCTAATTTACCACAGGCCCTGAGACCCTGGTGCTTATCACCAGCTATTCTGAACTACCACTTCCAAAATGTTGTTTTCTCAACCTCAGTAATTAGAGCTAATGAGCTCTGCAACATCTGGAGGGCATTCCATCATCTGTCCTTGTACTGGATTTCAAGAAGCTTCCTGATTAATGATATGTGACGACATAGAAGACATTGAATGTAGATCACTGTGTTTGCCTTTGATGTCTGTTTTTAATTTTTTGTCTGCAGCTGAATTTTTTCACCTTACAGGTTATTATAAGAAATATGGGCTGGAGTCTTATAGGACCTATTCTCAGATGTATGCTGAAACAAGAGCAAGATGATGTTGAGAGACAATATTGTATGAAAATACTGGATAAGTTGGTAGAAGTAAGTTGCAACATTTGTGCTGAAACTGTTTTTTAGTAGTGTTTTTAAAGATTGTCCTTTGATTGTGTTCTTTCATGCTGATATAGACATTAGACATTCTCAGATTTGTAGGCAACTGATCAAGAAATGGGTACAGAACTGAAGGAACTGGAAAATTTAATGTCCCCTTTTCCATAAATATAGTGAAAAGTGTTTTGAGAATATAAATGAATGGAGTGATACTCAGAAAAACAAGAGCATCATTTAGGAGTGTCAGCCTTTTGCATAATCAGAATTTCTAATAGAACGTAATGTAAACTGGCCAGTCAAAATCTCTAATTTGAATTGCTATTGATGTTATTTAAATCGCTAAGTAGAATCAATTCTGTTTTCATAGAAGAGAACTGTTTCTGTTTCAGAAAACCTTTAAAGAACCAGTGTGGTATAGTGCTTAAGGTGCTGGTCTACAAATCAGGAGATTGTGAATTCTAGTCCATCTCAGGCATGAAAAACGGGCGACTTTGGACTAATAGGAGAAAGAGTATTATGCATGTTCACCATTTTGAGTAACTTAAAAAGTAATAAAGGTGGGATAAAAATCTAATAAATGTAACTTCATTTTAATATTTAATTGCTTAGATCAGTAAATATCTTGATTAAAATGGTGACATATATTTTATTTCACCAATTAGTAAGTGGAAAAGTAACTTGATGTGCACCTTTTAAATATCATGCAAAATATATCCATGTAAAATATCCTAACATGGTAAAGATGACCATATAAAATAAAGATGAAAAATGAAGTTTCCTTCAAATCTGCTCAATTCGTAGTGGAATCACGACCAGGTAATTATCTTGGCAGCAAAAAAAAAAGTGGGTTCCCGTTGCTTTCCTGCAATCTTTGAAGCTTTGTTCTAGCTTTTCTTCTTTCTTGCAGTTGTGCAGTGCAAAAGAGCTTATATTGGGCTTCCTGGAACAGATTGAACAAGCTCCTAGGGAACAGACATCCGCAGCTATTTTACTTCTGCTTAAATCCTTGCAAGAAGGTAACAAGTGTCTTAATTTTCAAACTTTGAAATGATGACGGATGGACTGCCAATTTATTTGCATCAGAAATACCTGGGAACCCTTCGCCTGATAGCTTATCTAGTTGCAGTTAAGTGGTTTCACACACAAAATTTTCAAAAGTCTTCCAAGGCTATAATTGTTGGAAAATACTTAGAGCACCCTTTAAAAGTAACAGGTAATAGATTTTAGTTTCTATAAATCTGTTCAAGTCCACTTATAGGAAGGACAGGCAATTGAATCCTACTTAGTCAACTGATCTTTTTGAGATGGGTGCAAGAAGAAACTCCTAGGATGTTTAAAATTAGCCCTTATACAAATATAAGTGAAAATCCTGAGGTGTTTATTAGAAAACAAACAACCTAAATCACTTCTAAATCTCTGCCAAGATCCAGGAAGTGATGAACTATGAGGTTAAAGCAATATGTTTTATGGCACTAGTTTAATACTTGCTAAATCATAATCTGGCTAATATGAAGCTATGAATTTTCTAAAACTATGGCTTCTAAAAATATGGCTAAATATTGACTGGTTTCACACCTCCTATTTCATGACTTGCTTTAATTATAGTTTGTTGAACAAGGCAAACATGGTTTATATAAAATGAAGCAGAAGACATAGTTCAGACACTGTTCAAATGTCATGGCAAACTAAACCAAGCAAATCACATTATATCTTTGAAGCAAGCTAATGGTTGTTCTTTTCTTAGATCTGCATGCCAAAAGTATCTTGGTCTATATACTCAGATAATAAACTTGAATGCTCTCTAATAAATGTTTTTTTTTTTTTTTTAGCACTTCTTAAACTTGATACTAAGAAAGCCTATTCAGTGGGGTTGTCACTGTCTACCATTTTGAGCCAACTTTCCCTTCTCCCCATTCCTTACACAAAAGAGCAACTGCAAAAAGACCAGCACGGGCTTTGCCAGTGCCTCAATGCTCTACCACAGTTTGTCAGACCATTTGTCCTTGAAATTGTTCAACACATGGAGACCATATCAGGTGGCAATTGCAACGATCTAAAGGAGGAACTACTAGGATTGTAAGTAAGCCACTTTTGCTATGTAAAGAATCCAACACCATAGGTTTTACAGCTACTTGTAAAATTGCACGTAGCAATTTCAGAGATCGATCAGCAGAAAATGTAGGATAAAACTCAGTGCATACTCTTTCACTAATACGTTGCATGAAATTGTTTTGTAAAACATAATTCATCGTTTAGCACAGGTAACCCAAGGCAATAGGGTATGTTAAGCAAAACATCAATTCTTGTCTACCTGTGAACTTGATTTTTATTACATTTTTTTCTTTTTAGTTCTTTTTATTAAATCTCTATTACTTTAGTTCTATTGTGAAATTACCAGCTTCATTTTTATTATAGTTAAAATATACCAGCTATGTCTGAAGTCATATTTTGGGAAGACAGAGGGATTGAGATACTGGTCTACAATGTTTCACTAGTTTCATGTTGATTTTGGATAATACTAGTGGATTCTGTAAAGAAGAGCTTGAGATTCTGTAACGGTTCCATTTTTGGCCATCCTGCTGGTTCTTAGTTCTAAAATACCTCAAATAATACAGGTCTGTGCCGGCGCTCTTTTTATTTGGTGTCTTGACTGATTCTCTGATGTGCTCTACTTTTGTTTCCAGTTGCCTGAAAAGTTTAAAATATCCATTGCTAATGGCAGAGCTTGATCCATTGCCTGAAGAGATGGCTGAGAATCCCCTAAGGCAGTTTGCAGCGGAGATAGTTGTAAGTCCACCTTGGGCTCGTCTTCTTTTTCTGCCCCAGTTGTAAACGGAGTTAACAGTTATTTGTAAAATGATTGGCAAACTCTGGCTTCCTATCTGTGGTTATCAAGATTCATGAATAGTATTCCTGAAAGCAGGGTGATTCAGATAAGGGAACTACAAACAGCCCCTTGAAGTGAAGAAATGTGAAGATACTACAGATGAATTCCACTTTACTATGCCGAAAGAAGTCCTGATGAGAGTTTGTTCTATGCAGCTTCATTGATAGTATCCGCTGGAGGGGAATTACAAGGGGTGGGGAATCACAAGCACATGGTTATATCATCTCAAAAATTTGAGAGATCTTGTGTCGTATATCAATGGCATTATTACATAAGCATGCCATTTGTGCAATACCATCAGGACTTATTTTTTGCATCATTGCTGGCTTATATATGCTGCTGATCTGATTATTTACTCCAGTATAAATTTGTCTATGTGCTTTTCATGCCAACATGAGCTTACATGTACAATTGACCTACTGGTACTACAGCCTACCTGAATCTATCTCTGTGTGTACATGTGTATATGTATATGTGTATATGCGCGCGCGCGCGCGCACACACACACACACACTCTTCAGTAAATCTGTCCTGAGTAAACTTTTTAGAATTTCATTAAAAATTCTGCAAATGAAACATTTGCATATACCCAATGTGTAGGGAAGGTAGACATTAAACTCTTCAGCTTGGTTCGCATTCATTCTAAATTTCCTTTTAAGCCCATTTTAAGAAGGAAATGATGCTTTGGTTCAACTCATAACCTATATGTAGTTTGCAGATGAGTGACTAAACTAGAATAATAGATAATTATAATAGCGGGCGCATTGGTTCAGTGGTTGAAGACACTGAGCTTGTCAGCTGGAGAGCTGACAGCCCAATTTAAGACCTGAGCTCCGCACAACAGGGTGAACTCCTGTTATTTGCCCCAGCTCCTGTGTACCTAGCTGTTCGAAAGCATCCAAATGCAAGTAGATTAATAGGTACTGCTTTGGCAGGAAGGTAACAGCGTTCTGTGCACCTTTGTTTTATATGCTGGCCATATGACCACAGAAATTGTCTTCGGACAACACTGGCTCCCTCAGCCAAGAAACAGAAATTAGCAACGCACCCAACAGTCAGACACAACTGTCAGGGAAAATGTACCTTTAAAACAAACCATTTATGTCTTGATATGTTGAATGACCAGTCAAACTATTAAGACACAATGTGCTGTTGGGTTTTGATTATGAACCAACCCATTATGATTTATTAATAATTAACCAGTGCTTTTTAGATAGTTAATGTCATAGCGCAGGCAAATTTCTCACTATAAACTGATCATCACCATTATGAAAATGATGATGGAATAAGTAGAACTATGGAGCAGTATCTCTTTGTCCTAATAGTTCTGAGGCATGTAACCGAGAACAACAAAGCTCTCTCCTTTTCAAGAGCTGGTATAGAAATTTTATGATTTAAATATTAAGTTTATTAAAATTAGGGAAGTAAAAAAATTAAAGTTCATTTTGTCTTTTTGTTATCAAATGCCCTAAATAAACTTCGCATAGATAGAGTAAGATATTTAGCACTGATCCAATCACAAAGAACATCTCCAACATCAATCTCCTGTAGAACAGTATAGAAAGAAAGGCAGAGATCCAATTAAGGCTTAAATATCTTTAAATGGGACAAATGTATATGAATGGAATTTACACAAAAGCAAAAACTTATCTTTTAAAAATCAGAGGCAATTTTTAGAAACTGATAGACTGATAACACCAGAAAACAAAATGCTATAAACACAAATCCAGGTCTAAAATGTTTGTTAGAGATAGTCCTTAGCTTTCTTTTCTTGGATAATTTTATTTATTACATTTGTTTGCCACTATCTTTCTGCAAGGTGACTCCATAGACTATATCCTTGCAATTCCCGTCTCCATAGATTGCAGCTGAAGTGTCAGACACAAATTACTTAAGGTTTTGTTGATTCCTGAGAGACATTTAGGTTCAGTGCTTCCCTCATCTCCTTTTTCTCTCAGGCATTCTTCTTAAGTATTCTCCACTTTCTTTCAGCCCAAATTTTTTATCCAGCAAGGCAGAGTAAAGGGGAATATATTGGGCATGCTCCAGGCCTCCAGCCTACTTATTTTGTTTCTTTTTTAAAAAATGATTGAGAATTTCTTTCACTTCTTTCTCTTTGCTTACTTCTGCATATATGTACAGTATGAGTTACCATCACAGGAGGGGGATATTCCTTCACTGCTCTCATTCAGTGAGGCTATATCTCAGTAGCCCAAAAAGGGAGGACCATAGATCTATTTCCCTTGTGTCTGTGCTTGTATTTGAAGTCATTATGAACTTCTTGCTCTGGCATCTGAGCTATGATGTTTGAAGCCTGAGGCTTTTTGATTGTCATGTGGCACAAGGTTCCGTGAATGAGAACTTGCACATTACCACAGTATTATAGACAGTAAAAAGTATGAATGTCCTTTAAATATTATATAAAGAGATGACATATTAAATTAAGGAAGGCATGTATATTTTCCTTCTTTAGGGGGAGTGAAATTCATGCTTACACATTATGTCTGGGTGCATTTCAACATGTTTCATTAAGATGTTTAGTCATGAAAAGCAGTACTGCATGTTGGTGTCTCTTTATTTGCAGCAGGAGATATTCTGTTGTTTTTTTTAACAGAGAATTTTAGCAGATATTAGAGAATTATTTCCACAAGTGCGATTTCAACCAGTATGTAAAAGTGAAAACTGGGATGATGAAGACATATCAGAAATGGACAAGCAACAATCTTCAGATGCTTTAGCATGTCTATCTTATATAGTATTTGTTCAGGACTGCTTTGGTGTTGACTGCCTCCCAATAGTTTTCAAGTAAGTACAACATTGTACTTTTTTTTGTAGGCTTGGAAATTACTATTTGGCTAAATAGCTGAGGTATAGAAGATACTGTATTCCAGACCAGCTCAGCAGGGATGCTTGGCAAAAGATCATTCTAATTTGGGAGGATGAAATTAAGGATCAGGTGATGGACAAGCAGACAAGACCTATTTAAGGGAATAATATTTACACTAGGCCCCATAGACAAAGTCAGGCCCCATAGGCAATTTAGTATATAAATTATTTTAAATGTTCAAATTGATTACCGTATTCTTTTCAATAGCTCCTTGTTTGATGTATGACATTTGAACATTCCTAAATGCAGTTATACTTTCTCTGAAAAAAAATTAATAAAATATAGTGGTTGGCATACAGTACCTAACATCCTGCATATAGGTTTTGAAAGATATTAATTTTAGTGCATTTTTAAACCATCCCTGCCTTCCAATAGAGCATAAAGACCTGGTTCTGTCAGTTGGCTTGTGGCTCCAATGGAGGGGTACCATATTGGAGGTGGTGAATAATTTAACAACGGATCCCACCCCTCTTTTCATCATACTCCCTCCCTCTCTATCTTTTTAACTAGGTTGATTTTTAATAGTATTTCATACCTACCTACATACATACATAATATAAATGCACAATATATTATTATATTATTAGATGGCAACTTTATATAGTTTTCTCTTTTAATATTGTAGCTGCTCAAAATTATTGTTCAGTAAGATTGGTGGCTAATGAATTTTACAAATCCATAATGGATCATACAAATAGGATAAAAATTGTATAATTAGTAATAGTTGAGAAAAAAGGCCATACCTTTAATTTTATTTAAGCTATTGCTAAGTAAATCAAATGCCTAAAAAGTAGAAGTAATATCTAATCTGAAATATTCAATTCTACTGAACAAGACATCTCCCTAATAAATCACTAGATATTAAAATAGTCTCAACACAAAGTACAAATCCTAAATTTTTAGCTACTTCTTTAGGAAGTTGTTACCAATTGGCATGGTATTAGACTTATTGTAAAAGTATTGTAGTCCCAAAATATTTTCCATACAGCTATATACTTTCCACAATTTTAAATAAATAATTGATAACTACTGGAAATATAATCAGTGTATAGCATTGACTTGCATTCCAAATCCGGTCTGCACAGTTCTTGAATGTGGCAAGATTGTTTTATCAAGTGTCTGAAAGACTATATTAAAATTAGCAAAAAGTGGGGGCATTCTTGGCATGTGTCCTGTCTCGTTTTTATTATCCCTTTAGGATTATCTCCTCCATAATAAAAATGAGACAAAGTTACTTCTTTTTATCCAGAAATAAATTCTAAAGAAAATCCAATTTCTTTATCATTTGTACCAGAAACTTGAATTACATATTTGCAAAACCTTTTTCTGCATCTAATGATGCCAAAACTACTGCTTCATTTTCTTTCATTGTGGAATTATTATAAATCTACTAGTAGTCTGATATGCCCTTTCATAAAGCCAGATTGTGCAGAATGAATTAATGAAAGTAATGCTTTCGTTAAGCTTGCCAAAGTAGCTGTTTCTGGAAGATTAGTTCTATTTAAAAAAGGCTTCCCTCTGGGACTTATAATATTTCCAGAATATACATTCTTATAAAATTCCCAGAAATGACAATTAGTTTCTGCTTGATCACTATGAATTATCCCCATGTATCTCTCATTGCTGTTGTCTTATTTGTTCCAGTTGTTTTAAATGAGAAGTTAACAGTGTAGCAGATTTCTCCCTTCACAATAAAACTGCTTAATATGTTCTAATAACTATTCAGTTTTTTAAAGTATATAATGAATCAAACAGCAATTAAGTTGATCTAAAAGCATGGTTGGCTTCCAGAATGTGAATCTTCACATATATGGTTAAACTGTCATGTAGAAATCCTTTAAAGGCTCTGTATATTTGGGGGGGAAATTCCATTTCTTAGATTATTGTTGATCTGAGGTTTGTCTATTGTAATATTACTTCCATTAGTTGAATTTTTTCTCATGATCAGTGATATTACTTGCTTGTGATAAGAATTTATAATTGTAATTTTGACTAATTGAGCATCCATCAAGGTCCTTAGTAATAATGCCATCTTGAACATGCAACATGCGTCACAGATAAAAAAAGTATAGCCTTGCTTGTTTGAATATAACTGCTACTATATATCAGGTAGATTACACTTTTGGATGTACCGTATTTGCCGGCGTATAAGACGACTTTTTTGCCCTGAAAAACATGCCTCCAAGTGGGGGGGTCGTCTTATACGCCGGGAGGACTCCGACTCCCACTTCGAGCTTGAGTTGCAGCCGGGAGGGAGGCTGGGGGGGGAGCGGTGTGTGTGTGTGTGTGTGTGTGTGTGTGTGTGGCGGGTGTCACTCGCCACGCGCTGCGCAACCTTTCCCCCTCTTCCTTCCTTAGCGGTGTGGGGAGGAGAGGATTCGAAGATCCTCACGTGTGGCGTACTTTTCTTTTTCTTTTTTTTCTTTTTGCACGCAGGTTTTGCATGCGGGCGGCTGTAGGTTAAGGATGGGGGAGCCCCCGGGTGGGTTATCAGGTTTTACGGTGCTTCCAACATGTGCGAACGGTGGGAGAGCGGAGAAGAGAGCGAGCGAGCGCGAGCGCCCCGCTGTGTGAAATCCTGCCGTCAAAGCAACACTGGGGGAGGCAGGGTATAAATTTACCAGGTTAATGTAGCAATGGTGATTAATGCCCAGAACATTGTTTGCGGGTATTGGTGTGTGTGTGTGTGTGTGTGTGTGGTGGTGGTGAGGAGAGGTTGTCCTTTGAATGCGGAAAAGTAGGTGTGACCTTGTGTAGGAAAATAAAGAGATCCTTTTTAGTGTGTTTGGCTTCTTTGCCTCCCCTCGTTCGTTTTGACGTGGAGATAATGGCCTTCGGGCGGGAGGGGAAGAAAACGGTAGCTGGATCATTTCAAATTTCACTTACTCTCCTGCCTCACTTCAATATGTCTGAGCGACTCCAGATACTGGAAGACTTTTTGAATGAAAGTGTTACCTCCATTTTTTTTTTTAAAGAGGGCCACTTGGGGAAAAAAAAAGATTCTAAGGAATTCCTTGTTTCTTGATTAAAGAGAAGGCATTTTCAGTGTCCGGGTTTTTGGTGTGTGTGTGTGTGTGTGTGTGTGTGTGTGTGTGTGAGAGAGAGAGAGAGAGAGAGAGAGAGAGAGAGAGAGAGAGAGAGAG